GACTGTCCCCTCTTTCCTTCAACAACTGTGTCTCGGCCGAACCCTGGCCGCACTTGCTTTTCTTGGTTGTCTGGCGAGGCTGCTTGGGCGCATAACAGACTACATGAAGGTTTTTCTTGGAGAAAACTCTGCGCACAAACTGTTGTGCACAGTCGCGGCGCTGCGAGCGCTCCTTCGGCCAACCGCCCAGGTAATCTCTCGCCGTGCGCCACTTCACACTTCACACTTCACACTTCACACTTCGCCAGGTAATCTCTCGCCGTGCGCCACTTCACAGGCACGGACCTATCTGATGCAGTTCCAGAACCAGTGCTCGCCACCGGTGCCCTCCTTCCGGTACCTTAGCGACCCTTAGCGACCATTAGCGACCATTAGCGATGGAGGTGGCCCTGCAGCCGGCCAAGACGCAGGGCCAGCAGCAGGGCCACCTCCATCGTGTGCAGCCTTTGGAGGCTGGCCTCGGCCGCCTGCTTGCACATGCCAGGAACGTGCCACTGCCAAACGTCAGGAAAATGTTTATCGCCTAACGTCAGGGCGTCACTATCCGCGTCGGCTGGAAAAACCAGACGGGACGCTCAAGGGTGAGGATTATCGACACGTGCCGGAACTGAACGGCGAGCGGGCCGGACATAGGCTGGGGCTGGGGACAGATGTGAGGACAATGCAGGGATATGGCCACGGTGTGGGAAGATAAATCAAAACAGCCGAGTCTACATGCCACGTGACAAAAAATCAATGAGCCATGAGCATGTTCAAAACCGTCACTGACTATACACAAGCTGCTGACACATTTAGGTAAGGTAGGAAGGAGCTATCCAGCCAAACGCAACTTGACGCAATCATACACAACAAGAGAGCATGCTGTAAAGTTGATGGGAGTAGACAGCTTCCAGCACCATCGACTTTAAATCAATGTATACGGCAGCCAGGCGGGGCTGTTGTAGGCAGCTTATGACCCAACACAATCTGGGAGCATTACGTAAGCTGTTAAGTGCGTTTGCGAGGAGCATTATCTGCGCAGATAGGACCGTGGTAAAAGCCTCATTCCTCGGAGAAAAATCAGAAGAGTGTGGATATAGGTGAACTGATATTTCGGCAACATGTCTTTGTTGAAGCAATAACAGAATACCAACACTATACCTCCATTCTCCCGGTTTCTCTCCGAGGAATGAGGCTATTACTACTGTCTTATCAATCTGGATCATATTAAAATACACCTTCACCTGCACAGGTTGTGCTTCTGTTTTTGATCTACTGGGATCAGCCTTAGAACATGGCCAAGCAAAACTTTGGAAAAGGTTGGCCGTTGCACACGCATATCTTGATGAAAGTTTACGAGATGTGATATATATATATATATATATATATCACATTAAAAGAAAACATAGTTACGTGACACAGCATTAACCCTTGACTCCTCGGCCACCAGCTGGTCACGGCTAGCCGGCTAACCGGCTAGCGTGGCTAACACGGCTAAGTGGCTAGCCGTCACTGTCGATTCGGCTAACTGCCGGCCCGAAAACCAGCTATCCGCTGACAATCTTTGGTCAACGTTGAGGGAGCTGAAGGCAGCACTGGAATCAGTCACTGGACGCCAGAGTTCGACGCTATCTGTCGTTGAAGTAAATCATGTATCGCCGCTGCGTCAAGTTGTTTACCCACCTTTGTTTCGGCCAAGCGAGTGCCGAGTACAGCCCTCATCTGGACGGCAGTCTCCCAATGGCGGTCGGAGGTCGCCGCCTGGTTACAGTATTCGCCCCTGCTCTCGATCCTCATTCCCGTCACAGGATCTCCCGGCGTCTCTTCTGAAAACGTGACGACGTTAGAGCTGTTCTTAATGACAATCATTCCAAAAAAAACAGAGTATTGCATGAGCCGTTTTTACGTAGGACTATAATGAAATTTTCTTTCAAAAAACGGCACAAACTTGCCAGGGTTTTTTAATCAGCGAGCCATCAGTCTTTTATCGGCGATTTTTGGCCGGATGTGTTTCGGAGAGATGTAAAAACATATTTGTAAAGTGGCATAATTGGATAAAATTACAGTTTTTTGGCTACAAGCAAGATAATGTTTTTATGAACAGGTATGATGTCAGATTATTTCTTACCGAAACTTTCCAAAGCTTATTGCAAATATTCGGTGACATCTCTGATGCAAACGCGGCAAAACAACTAAGACATTGCCGCAGGTCCTTCAGTGACTCGATGATTTCAACCACCCGGAAGTGTATGACATCCATAACATAATACTTTCGCTACCTGCCGACCAACGTGTCACCTTTTTGTGGACGCCAGGATATTGTGGCGTCGCGGAAATGTCCCCGAGGATTCCCTTGTGAAAGAAGGTGTCTGTCGACCAAAGTCTATGGAAGTGTCTATTGCATTAGGTGATGTTCTTCATTTAAGTTAAGTCCGTTTCGCTCGGTATTTTAGAATCGGTGGAAAGTTTCGCACACTAGTCATATGTATCGAATTAAACCCATGCTCCAACCAAAGACGACGTGTCATCAGAAGAACAGGCAGAGAGAAGCGGTCTTGATGCGTTTGAGATATGGCCGCACTCGTTTCACACACAGCCACCTATGCGGTCGCCCAGCGCCACCGGTCTGCGAGGCTTGAAACGTCCGGCTAACGGTAGGACACGTGTTGGTTGGATGCGCTGCTCTTACTCGGGAACGTCGTTTTGGCACGAGTTATTTGTTGACATATCGCCTCCCCCATGCCCTCCAAACGCTGCTGGGTGACAGTGATCCTGCCTTATCTGACCTTGTTCTCGACTGCGTGATTAAATCACCACTTGGTACGAAAATCTGATGAGAACTGATTCGCCACTCGGCTCCTCCTGGCGTTGTGCGTATGCATAATGATGCGATGATTTAATGACCCAGCACCCAACGTAACCAAGGTTTTACTCACGGTTTCTCCCCACATATATGCATTTAATTGTGATCCTGAATGACGATCCTTGTTGCCCATATCTTCTATACTGCTTACCCTAACAAAGTAAAATTGCGTATGTGTGGTTTTCCCGTGCATCCCCTCTCTTAAGTGGCCACCGGACTTATTTGCCGATTAATGAGCCGATTTTGTGCGGGATTAGTTAGGGAGCCCGGCTCTCCAATCTTGGAGAATAACGTAACTTAAGGCCACTAAAAATCCTATATCCTTGCATCGTCCCTGTTCAGACGCATGCAGGACTTACAGAGCTTACTTGCATCACTTACAGAGCCTGCTTGCAGTACACACAGAGCTCACGGGGCTGACATACCTTTACCTGATTCACGATGGATATTCCTTGAGTGAGGGGGTCCCAAAAGCGCGCCTTGCTCCACACACCACCGATAAAGACATGAATGGCACTGCCAGCACTCAGTGTCATCGACCGATGCATATTCCTGATTTTCAGGCCAAGTATTTTCCTAGATTTTTTGTGAACTAACGACAGGGGCTAAAGAAGTGTCTGCAAACGTTCTCGTTTAATATAATAAGCTAACACTTGGACCTAAGTTGATCGTTCATTCATGACGCTGCAATACTGGCTACACTAGCAGACGCGCGGTGCATTGAAAGTCACCGTGCCTTATATCAGTTGCATCGCAACGATTGCAACATGCCATTGCGGCCAGATCAGCTGCCATATCTAGATCCTTTTCAGTATGTTGTACTGTCTGGTATGTAACAATGACACTCGGATAGCAATCGGCGAAGTCGGCCGACGGCTGGGCCGATGGAAATGGATAGCTTTGTCGCCTAAGACAATTGTGAGATAATAGCACGCTCAGCTTATCTAGCCCTTCAGGTACGTAGTTTCCTTTTCAGTTGGGATTGTGTCGCCAGCGGCGGTTGAGTTTCCTATTCAGACGTGGGGCGAAGGGGAGTTCATCACTTCCATCGCTCTGCCCCCCCCCCCCCCCCCCCCCCCCTCCAACCTGGGCTCCATCCAGCCCGCCAACTTTGAGCAGTACGTGGAAAAGAAACACATCCGTCGACATATCTTCCGGGTAAGCTGAGCCATTAAATTAATCAAAAAGCCGTTCAATTACGCGCCTGGTCCGAAATATGGAAAAATAGGTCGAATCCCGGGAGAAGCCGCTTTTTAAACGAATTTTGAGGCAGGTTCAGACATTTTTCTTTGCTATCCCCCCCGCGCCGACATCGTAGGTTTTTCGCAAAACTAAATCCCAGCAGCCCTACACTTACTGATAAACATGTCATTTCAAACAACTCAGAACAACATCTCGCACAACTTAACAAATTAGAACAAGATCGTGCATTTGAATTCGTACATTTAGCACCCCTCAGTTGGAATCTTGGAATAAACGCTTGACATGTGTCGCTTCAACGTCCCCCGTTCGCCTCTGGAGCTACATTCTGCGTATCCATAACTTACTACCTCCCTAGATCGGCGAGGCGTTTTGATGCTTCTACCAGAGACGCCCTCTGCGGTAGACCGCTAGAAGAGACATACTGCGCTTTACAGACAGTAACGGCTAGGTACGTCTTTCAAGCCGGTGAGATTCTCACCATCCGAACACAACCAGCGTCAGCAGGCACAGCGGTACATATACATAACTCGCTTACACGGCAAAAGTCGATGTTCCGACGCACTACACAACCTCACGCTACAAGTGTTGGAGAGCACAGACCAAGTCTAAGCTTTGTGTGTCGTGTGACTGGTATGCTTTCTTATAAGTTGTTTCCCTTTTCACGATTTTGTCATCAAAAATATATCGCAAAATTGACCATTTTTGTCGGCGCCTACAGCCAACAAATCGGAGGCTTTTTTACCCTTGCTTGGAACATTAAGGACGTTCTCCGTCAAGAGTCCTGTACAACTCTCATCATCGATGTATTTCGTGTCTAATACAACGCAACACACAGCTGTAGAGCGTCATGATGGTCATCCACCATGGTCCCACGTGCATCAGCTCCACCGATCTGCGGCGTATTCGGACTGGTAGGTGGCTGCTAGGTGGCTGCTAGGTCGCTGTTCACCAGCGGCTACGGCAGGCGCACGAGCACGCGGCAGGGCCCGCCACTGCCGCCGCCAATCTTCATCGGCAACGCCAGAATCCTGCGGCAGAAAGTGACGCTGGTAGGAAGGAGCTTGCCATGTATTTAGGTGGGAAAGCCCCGAGTGTCCTCTTCCATCTGAATGTTCCGGTCTTTAGTGTGGAAGCTGGGTAGAAGAGATGTACCCAAAACTCTGAGCTGCATCTGTTTTTAGTTCCACCTCAGACGTTGATGAGGGAAGAACAACGTAAACACTCTCTCGCCCAGCTAAGGGCGAGTAAGAGCTGGTAAGAACAGATTAACTAGAGGATTAATCGTACATTCGAACACGCAGAGTACGTTGTAACGCATTTGTAGCCTAACGTATTGTTAACGTTGCCTAGATAATAGGACAGGCAGCTGACAGCCAAAACAAAAGCTTCTCTACCCTGAATCCGAGCCTCATCATTAGTACCAACCGCACAACACAAGCGCACTGATCCAGCGGCATGGCAGCGGCTGCAGACCGCGGGCAGCGTCTCCGTGCTCACGTGGCGCCGGTGGCCGGCACCCGGCTCATGTCTCCCACGTGCTCCAGGCCGAAGATGTTGCGCCGGAACAGCGCCTGGTGGGCGGGGAGCACTTTGCTGGTGCCCGGGTCCAGTGAGGGCGTGTCGATGCCGACGCCGACGATGGCGCCGTCGGCGGCGATCATCTCAGCCGCTGCCTCGCCGATGCCTGCCCGGTGCGAGCAGTGATGTCACGCGCGTACTACCAATGACGTCATGTGCGCGCTGGCGCTTACGGTGTGCGTGGATCGTCACTGATGTCACATATGCACTGTCATTGATGTAATGTGTTCACTGACCGTGATGCTATGAGTGCTCTGACGTCTGGGTGTAATAACACATCCAGGTTGGCCGACACGGGTAATACTGGTATCACGCCCGCAGACAAAGGTGTTGAGACCCACGTCTCCGGACGGGGATAAAGTGGCGCTGGTTGTGGAGATCCGAATATTACGTCAACAGATCTGCGCATGCGGGTGTACTGCTGTTACGCTCGGACACGAGTGTAATCTGCCGAGTATTTAGGCACGCATTTGCCGATGCTTTGCCGAGAGACAAGGGCGGATGTCATGTATGCACTTACAATCACACCGTCGCCACACCTACAAATACCGGGGTACTGACATCACATTCGAGACACGGACATGTCTACCTCCTGAGATCACGTCTGCGGATACCCACTGACGTCACACCGAGACACGGACACGTCTATCTGCTGAGGTCACGTCTGCGGATACCCACTGACGTCACACTGAGACACGGACACGTCTATCTGCTGAGGTCACGTCTGCGGATACCCACTGACGTCACACTGAGACACGGACACGTCTATCTGCTGAGGTCACGTCTGCGGATACCCACTGACGTCACGTCCGAGACACGGGCATGTCTGTCACCTGAGCTCAGGTTTGTGGATACCTGCTGACGTCACACCGAGACACGGACACGTCTATCCTCTCAGGTTATGTCTGCGGATACCCAGTGACGTCCCGTCAGAGACAACCTGAGCTCAAGTCTGCGGATAACCACTGATGTCACCCTGGATATACAAGTATACTAACGCCATGTCATGTCTGCGAATACACACTCACTGACGCGGTCGCCACATACAATCAGACAACAAGTGGTGGTCACGGTTTCGCTTTTCCTAGTTTATCGGACTGACGGCTTTACACAGCAGCTTGTGACTGCAATCTTATCAATGAATATCAATAATATTATCAACCAGTACTTCCACTCAGCTTCACACTGACCAGGAAAGTGCACGTTATATCCAACTGACGTCTCCTTTTTCAGTTCCTCGGGTGGCACACCCCAGTAGCGCGTGTTGTTGCCCCAGTGGGCAGCGTAGCCGGTGTTCACCAGCAGGATGGTGGGGTAGATCCAGTCGCCGTGCGCCTCCTTCCAGGCGATCAGGTCGGCCGGGGTCAAGGTCGTGTCAGGGTCAGCCTGACTCCGGGCGGAGATGTTGACCACAGCCGCTGGAATAATAGGCGCCGGGGTGAAACAGGGCGCGACAGAGGTACTGGCGCCTTTTGCTAATGACGTCAAAGCTCGGCAGAGTATATCCCCGTCTGTCACGTTGTGTGGTCAACGTGACGTGCGGATGAAAAAGGGGAGAGATAGGAAGACCAATGGCCACCGACGCAATTGCCCAACCAGCTCCAGTTTTCCAAAAGATCCATGGTCTCTGTTCCTTCCCCCATGGCATTAATGGATTTTCGCTCGTGCCTGGAAGAGGCAACTGCGTGAAAGGACCGTAAAGGCCTAAGAAGCAGGTAGCAAAGAATTTCGCTGTATGGGATAGCAAAAAAAGGAACGCTTTCGACTTAATTTGTTGTAACAAGTAAATTGAAGCACACCATCTCCAGTTGACCGAACTGAACGTCTGTAATTTATCGGGTGTTTTCGGCTATTTTGGTCACTTTGACACTTTTGGTGTCAAAATTCCGTTCATCCGTTCTGACATAACCTACGTTTAATATATCCGGCGAAACCTTCTAGCACATGCGGGGCACTTGCAAGAGTTTGCGTTTTAGCACCCTGCTTGCGTCCCTACTCCCACGAACTCGGAGATGACTTTCGCGTGCAGGATTTTTAGCAGTGTATGGGTGCGGGCATCGTCGCGGAGGACAGCTGGGTACCTCACCCTCCGAGAAAGCTTCCCGACTGGTGACACCCCCCGAGTTCAATGTCATCTCAGGAAGCTTTGGTGTAGCAGGTTGTCGATGTGGTGGAACGATGAGGCGGAAAATGTATGGCGCGGAAACGCACCGGCCGCCAACGATGTACGGTGCCCATCGAACCCCACCTGGAGCTCCACTCCCTTTCACCCCACTTACGAACTCTGACGTGATAATGCGCTGGGCTGGTTTGAGCCGCCAGGGATCGACACTCAACACTCAGATATGTTTTCCTTGCTCCGATCACTTTGATCGCATGGATGTTTGTAATCAGACACCACGCAAAGCAGTGCTTGTTATGCGATCACTCTGCCCACCAAAAATCGTAAAATTCCAGTTTACTGGCAGAATTTTGTGACCGGAATGCTCACCATAACGCTGGCAATGTTCGGCCTTGTCCACCCCATCGTCTGATCACATCTGACCTTAAGCGACCGCTGCCACCCGTCGCGGGCTATCCCGTCCAGACAGGTGGTTAGTTTCGCGACGTGAGTTAAGGGAGAGGGATGATCAGGGCAGAATGACTTAGTTCTAGCATACGCAAACAAGCGAGCCCGCTTATCGGCTTTGGCCCACTTACTTTTCAAAGTTGGGGCGCTGGAACCCCGTCCCCCAAGAGGGAACGGGAACTACACCCCCGGATCCAGGTGCAAATAGCAGCGTTAAAGCGACTCGAGCTCGCCTACCTCGCCACGGCGTGGGTAGGTTGGGGGGGGGGGGGGGGGCAGGCGCTCTAACCGGATCAGCCACGGGGTGACCTAATTGTGATATATACATCTTGCCTATTTGTGTGGGTTGCGCGCATATATATTGGTACGTTTAAGCAAGACATTTTTGCTTAGGTATAGACCATTAAAGGGCGCGGTATTTTGTGCTCTTGATTGTTTCCGACTAGTTCTTCAATTTAGGGATTCAATTCGTTTTCCTTTTTCTTGTACCTGGGCACCTGGTCTCTACCAACATTTGTTTTGAATTCTGCTGTAAATGCTTTCTTTTTGCCGCCGGATCACGTAGACTAAGATTGCTATAAAGTCTGCACAGCGAGGAGGACAGCTGCCCCTTCCCCAGGGGGCATAGTTCCCCTCCTCTGCGGGTATGCCGAAGGCGCAAAAGGATGTCTCTGCCAACTCAAAATTTTAACAAGGAGCCTGCCATTTTTTTTTAAAAGGTACAAAACCTTTCCAAAATGCTTTATACCTAGCGTAGACGAACAAAGTTGACATCACGCAGTATTCCTAGCTGCCAAAAAAAACTACGGGCAGTTATGACTTGGTCACAATGTTCGGAGTGGACATATTACGCTCATATGCTTACCGTTCGCCACAAACCGATCGACAGGGATCTTCTCCAAGGTCCAGCCGCCCATGAAGACGTGCACGGGCGCGTCCATGTGGGTGCCGCCATGCTCCGCTGTCGCGAAGTTGTGCATCTCCAGCCTGCCAAACGGGGGCGGAAGGGGGGCGGGGGGGGGGGGGGTGAGACGGCACGCGAACGATCCGGTTCGGTTCAGGGAGTGACAGGCGGCACGCTTACATGCGGCCTTCCACCAAACACCGCAGCTGCGTGGCGGTGTTAGCGGGCCACGGATATAGCCTCAGATGGGAATCGAACCCCCGTTTCCCCGCGTGAACATTTGAGGCATTTCCGACCGCTAACTACGCCACCTGTCACATTGAACGCGCGTAGAAGAGACGTCCAACGCGGAGTGAGAGAGTATTTTTGTCACCGACTGAATTTCTGTAGGGAAAATCGCTGCCAACAGCGTAATGCGATACCAGATGACGTGACATGACAAAGAAGTCCTGTCTCGTAGCGCCATTAGGAATCGGTGCACCACCGAAAGCCTTTGTCATCTTCGCAATTTCAATGTCATGCATACAGCCGAAGCACTCATTTATACATGATCATTTGAAAAATGCTGCCGCTGCTAGGAATGCCGGCACACTGGCTCTACACTATGGGATACGTTGCTATACAGAGTGCCTAAAATGGCCGATGCCCGCGTTGGCCTACTTGGCCGTAAATGGCCTTAGGGTGGACAAATGGGACCTAACGAATAGGCACAGGGTGGGATATTTCCATTAAGCATGGCCACTTTTCCTCGCGCTGCATGTAACAAAAAAAATTATATTTTCTTACACCTTCACAATCCCTGGGGCTTACTTCTTGCGAGGTGAGGGAAAAAGTGAACGCTGCCCCCTGTCATGTCTAGATAATGTTCATGTCTGATACTGGCATACTGTTACTGTTGATCTGACAGGCTGCCGGGTTCAATGGGGACCCCGGCAGCCTGTCAGAAATTTGATTGGCCGGAGAACTGCTTGGGGCCAAAGTGGTCCATCCATGAGAGCAAGGTCCTGGTCCGTTAAGAGCAAGGTCCTGAGCAGCAAGAGTGGTACTAAGCATCAGGCAGCCCAAGGCAATTACTAAACCCAAAGTGTCCAGAGTGCCCCTGGCCGGTCAGGGGGTCCAACGATCATCCAGAAGGTCTCCTGGGTGATGAAATGGGCCTCCCAGGCGCCAAAGGGGTCCTAAACATTTAAGAAGACCCCTAATTGTCTAGAGGGTTTTAAGGAAAACCAAATATCTCGGGCGATGAAATAGGTTACTGTTTCCTCCGAGTCCTCGACAGCGAGACGGGAGCCCAGGTGGTTAGAAGGGCTCCCAAGCAGTGGGAGCTGCATCGGCGACCGGAGATGCCTTGGGCTGACAGTAAACAGAAGGGCTCCCAAGCAATGGGAGCTGCATCGGCGACCGGAGATGCCTTGGGCTGACAGTAAACAGAAGGGCTCCCAAGCAATGGGAGCTGCATCGGCGACCGGAGATGCCTTGGGCTGCCAGTGAAGCCACTGATCAGTAACATCAGCCCAGCCCAAATAAATTGTCAACCAGGATAATTGCACCGTATGCTTTATATTGATGAGAACGAAGGAAAGGAACACTGAGGGTACTTGGTACAATTGATGAGACCTGACATGAATTGCTGGAACTGCATAAAACAGCTCATTTAACTCGTGCGTAGACACAGTGTTATGCAGGTGATGCACCCTTGCAAAGTGTACCAGAAAAATAAATGCATGATAGATCAGTAACAAAGTGATATAAAACGAAACAATATGAACAGCCAAAAATGAATATTTACGGAGAACTTAAGGAAGAGAGGTAACCAAAGCTTTGACAGAAACTACAGCCCACAAAATCGGTCGATTTTGTGATCCTCTTTTCAATCGCGATTCAAGATTCCAACCTTTTTTAGCTAGAATCAATTCAGCTCCTGTGTAGGTCAATCAAATGTATCTGCCAATCGCAATGGAAGCAGCTGCCACCAGATAACGGCTGCGATAACCAGAACACGATCCACTCACCAGAAGCCGTCCAGCTGTCCTTTGAACACTTCGCTCAGGTTGAACTTGAGGTTACCCGGCCAGTACTGTGTGGTCTTGTCGTATGTGTGGCTGAGGTCGATCCACGGGCCGGCCGAGGCCGGACAGAGCAAGACCAGCAGGAGAGAGGAGCCGAGCAGAAGCCCGGCTTGACAGGCGGAACTCATCTGCCGACGGAGCAACCAGATGCAATCACCACCATTGTCCAATATCTTAGCCACCGGTCCGGCAATACTGCAATACTAGACAGGCAGGGGTGTGCTAGCCAACGTATTTCAAAGGATGTACTGCATACAATTTCCACGCGCAACAAGGGACCATTTATGCTTTTCCTTCCTGCAGTGTATAATTCCACTCACAACATATTGTCAACTACACTTACACACGCATGCACACGCTACGCATCCATGCTACACAATAAACACTACAGCAACTCTGCAGACCAACTCAGTACCTAGCGCACAAAGTCTTCACGCTCTCAACACAAGAGGGAGAACCATTCTTCGATAACCCAAATAGCTGACGTAAATTGACCCTTGTCTTGATATGCCAGTTGTCATAACGTGGACTGTTAGGGGAGTGGGGGAGCGTCGATGCAAACCGTCCTTTTTGTCGTTTCCAAACCAATAAAGATAGAGCGTGGCGTTGCCAGAAAAAAACAGTGGATTGGTCTCGACAAGATATCGTGATCGGCAATGATTTGCATATTGCCAGATCAACAACTTGCCCTATTTTGTCTAGATAAAAGGTCAAATTTTACCCCCCCAAAAATCAAGTTTTCACTTAAATGTTCACATATACGAGAACAAGTATCACAGAGACACAACAATGGTGTTGATTGAAAAATATTCGTTGCTATGTTCAACGCCGAAGTGGCGTGTGGTTAAAATCTTGGGTAGCCAAACTGGTATGAGAAGCACGATACGTATCCGTAACAACATTCTTGCAGCCGAGGCAGTCAAGTAAACAATTGATGAATCTCGGTGTGTTTCATACCAGTGGCAATACGCTCCAATAATGAAGTTTACTCCACCCCCGAGTGTAGCTTGTTTTGCCACGGCCAGTGACAAGCCTCGATGGTGCGGACCCACAGACCGTCACTTATGCAAGCCTCCGGCAGCAGGTGTGCCAGTGTGAACCTGGTTCATGGCTGGCCACGCTCTGGTGTCAGCAGCCAATTATTCAGTCTTCCGTGGCGGCATTTGTGCCTCGTAACAATAGACCATTCACTGCTATTACAGCTTTCCTCCACATGTCTCGCATTACTGTGCTGTGCTTAACGGCGCTATTTACGATCAACGCTCAGCGTAGGGTGCTGGCCGGTTCCCGCAAAGACGCAAGGGGCAACGAAAGTTTCCCTAAGTTGGGAGTGGGGAAGGGCGATAGCCATTTTAGATCTTTCTTTTCACTCAACCCCCAGGGTGTCAATACTAGATTTTTAGATAGTTGAGGCTCATCCCCTTCCTAGTGCCCCCACCCTGCCGTGGGCACGTTCATTTTCCACACCGATTCAATTGTAACGGCCTTGCTAAAGACAAGCTCGCAAAGCACATGATCATGCGTGCCGTGTTGTTCTACCTGATGGGCTGGCGGACATATGCACTTACCAGGAATAATTTCCAGGTCGCACACTTCCAGCAGCTCGCGCATACACGCTTTCGCTTTCCACGCTGATTACATTTTAGCCGCTGGGCATATAAACTCGCAATTTGTACATCATCATGTTTACCATTGAGTGCAACGCCTTCGGCTCCCTAGTTATGTGCACCTCTCTCAACGATTTCTGTATTATTGTTACGAAGGCTTTCCTTTATCCCGACCGGCTATCCATGTGGCAGTTCTCGCGGAAGCGCGTGAAGATTCCACGCCACACTTATTGTGAGGGTTTGCCGCACGAGCTTAGGAAGCACATCATCGTATTCCACGTTAAATTTGGCACAATTGGCCAGGGGCAGATCTAGGCTGGAGTTTTTTTTGGGGGGACAACCGTTCGTCACCACCTGGCTGGTGTGGGATCCAAGGTCCAGTAAATGGTGCCTCTCGTGGGTACCTAGTAGGGACATCACTGAAAACTTAAAAAAGCACCGAAATGCTTTTGAATCTTAAACAGAAATTAAAACAAAACAGTTAAAACAGCTAAAGTTAAAACAGACGGTAAGTGGAGGAAACTTTTATAAAGTTCTGGGAATGTTTTGGGCGGCCAAAACACACTCTCAGAGGTTTGGGGGGGGGGGCCACAGACCCGTGCCCCCCCCCCCAATCCCCCAAGATCCGCCTAGGCAATTGGCTCGCTGGATCTATGCACCTCCCTCAACCATTTCTTCAATATCGTTGACAAGAGAGCGCGATGTTCAGTTCATCCTGTCTCGTAGAATCATTGGTGTACGTTTTCACTTTTAATTTCATTGCATTTCAATTTCGCGGCATAGGATTTCACGCTACATCATCACCCTCGCCATGAAATTCTACGCAATCGGCTCGCTAGTCATATGCATCTCTACACACAGTTTGTTTACTATTTGTACGAACATTTGCGAAGTTCCGGCTGATTTTGTGGCAAAGGCCATACACGGCACCCATCTGTGTCCCAACGCCCACAAGGCCTCCAAAAGATCAGCGGTCAGGTAATGAAGATATCATGGGCTTACCGTTAGTGATGGCGCTTACGTTCAATACCCAATTGGTTATTTCAAACATTTAATCAAGTTCCTGGCTGTACGAATACTCGCAGGGTATGCAAGTTCCCTGAGCCGTGCTTTTGTTGTGAGCATCTGTCCGTTAGGGAGGTCTTCAACGCTCAGCAGGACTTGCCGATATCAGGGACTTACCATCGTCGAAATGTCGGGTTGCGTTAATTCTTTAAGCTATGATATAGAATGTTCAATCACTTTTCTGTTGGCGAGGCCACCCCTCGCACAAGATCTCTGAGACGTGTTCTTGCTGTAATCTCCTCTCAGTGACTGCACCCGGCGACCGAAAGCTCCCTTTATAAGAATGCACAACCGGGTATGCGACTAGCGCAGGGGCGCATTTGATCATAGCGTGGTTGCGGGGAGACCGAAGGTCGGTTGCTCTAATTCGAGGGTAAATAAATGCGCACAACGCAATTTTCGAGGTCAACAAAACTGGCAATTGCATAAGAAAATTTGGATCGGAGTGGTCCAAACAGTGAGCATCACAATTGTTGCAGATGTTGGCTGTCGGAAATTTCCGCTGGGCTTGCCTCCGCGGCCGCTGGCTGGATCGGAGCGCAGCCTTCGTGAGCAACCATATGGCGACGTTGGACGCCGGGATCACTCAGAACGCAAGCGGAAAGCTAGTAGTAGTAGTAAGCTAGTAGTAGTGGTAGTAGGTATTCTTTCACAATAACGGACGCGGGGATTTTATTCAGAGCGTATGTGAGAAGCTCTGTAGGTGTTCTTTCGTAATATTGGACACGGTATTTTAGTCAGCGCGCACGTGGAAAGTTCTGTGGGCGATGTTTCATGATATTAGACGCCAGGATTTGAGCTCTCGGTGAAATCGAAGCGAACGTGGGGAGCTCGTCCAAGGGAGTGTGGTCTAGACATCGCAATGAGAACACGTATGATCAGCTGCGTAATAATAACTAAATCTCAACATAAAAACAAGCCTTAATGTGTATCAAGATTTCGGCATCATCGGCACCATGTATGGGTTGTTGTCTACGGATTCCCAAAATATTTGTTTAAATTAAACTTAAATTTTAAGTATGTCCGCGAGATTGAAGGAAAGGCGAGTTTCTGTCGAACGGTGTCACCCGTTTTTGTAAAATCGCCTTCCGTTGACCTGAGTTTCCGAGTGCTCTGATGTTTTCCTAGAAGATCGAATTTATCAGGCAACCCCAAAAGGCTGCCACCATCAATGCGCCGCTTATATCATGAACGCACCGTAAGCATGCGCGAATGGTCCTTCGACCAAGGAGCTCATCAGTGCTGGCAACAGATCCTGCACACCACATCCTCCGGCCATTATGTAAACAATGTATTTTATATCAAGTGCATGATTAATTGTGGTTTATGAGGGGAGCCTACCTGCCCTACCTACGCTTGCCAGCTCATGTCAATCTGCCAAAACCTCCACATTTCCTGGATTTTTTTCCACATTTCACCGCGATTTTCAATGACTGCGCCATCGATGGTGCATGTCAGAAATGCTCATATCGGCTGGATGATTCTCCCGCTCTTGGGAGTTTCAGCCTCAGTGCCAAAAAATTGCGTTTAGGTAGCGAATCCCGGTGATTGGTGAGGCACACTGCTCCCGCCCCAGAATGACCCATGACAGCATGGGTGGTTTTGGCTACTACCGGTGCCAGGGAAATGACGTGAATCACAGGTGTATGCCTCGCCTTTCTTAGCATAGCACAAAAACAAATATCTCAAACGTAGTGGCCCTCCGATTTCACTCATTCGTCTTATTTTCCTCACCCGCCGTTTCCTCCTGCATCCTCGCACGCCTCGTCCGTTGGGAGTATGTTGCGCCGCCAGTCGCGAGCCAGCCTCACGGCCGCCCTGATGTAAATCCTTCCCTAGCGTCTGCACCCATCCCAGGGTCGGCCCCCTAGGGGCGCACATATTACATTGTCGGGAGCGTGACAGCCAACGACTCCGCAGTACTGCCTCACCTGTCTTTCTAAATCCTGAGCTCTGAAGTGGTAAATTATGCCAAACAAGCTAAGTAATGAGAGCTTATGCGGTACACTATGCATATATGTAGCAATCATGCACATCTGGGAGTGATAATGTGCGTGCTAGTAACGACGAGCGGGCGTGTTGTATTCTTCATCCTTCTTTGTTGTCTTTTCCATAATTGCAAGCAGTCCAAACGAGACATGGGCCGCTGTTTTAATTGATGCTGTTTTGCGTGGCCGCAGGCATATCCATGTCAGATCGTTACTGACGGCAGTATGTGACATAGGCCAGTCCAGATCTGAACATTCCAGATACAGCGAGGCTAGCGCCACTGCTATGAAGCGGTACGTGTAGACAAAGATACAGCGAAGCTAGCGCCACAGCTGTAGAGCGAAACACGTAGACAAAGATGCAGCGAAGCAAGCGCCACCGCTGTAAAACGGCACGTGTAGACACAGATACAGCGAAGGTAGCGCCACCGTTGTAGAGCGGTACATAGAAATGCAGATAAAGCGAAG